CAACGCAAAGCCTTGGGTTGTGATTCATCTGGTGGAGAAAGGAACACAAGATTGACACGGATTTTAAGTAATTTCTAACATGAATGAATTACTCTTCTCATTGTCAGTGAATTTATGAGGTCCTAGCGCCTACAATCTTTGCTCACGCTATGATTAGAATGCGCATCAATTTTTCACCAATGGAAATCATGTTCAGGAAAGTACATGTGGACCCACTGGCACGAGAAACTAGTGAAACAAGGAAACAGAATGGTGGAGCAACTGACGACGTGACCAGCTATAAAAGAAAACTCTTTCGTAAGCAACAGTCAAAGTGAGCTGCTTATTTCGCGCTAGTAAAAAGCTTGCGTTATTCATATCCTATGCAGAACTAGTGTTCTTACGAATGCATGTGTCTCAAAAAGAAGTCGTGGTAGTGCGGTGAGCGTTGATCTGGAGATGGGGGAGAGGAAGAAAGAAAAGGACAGGAACAGTGATGCTGAGGAGGACAAAGTTTTTAAAGGTAACTGATATTTTTATTGGCGATTTCAATCCGCTTCTATCTGACCATTTGAGAAATCACCGACTCAAGGGCAGAAGGCTTTGATGCGGACGAAGACAGCACTCCAAAAAGATTATCACAGTGAGTCCAAGTGCTCCATGTTGCATGTTGTTTATGGGGTTTTTACATTGCAGTATTTGCGAGTTGACGAAACAATACAAGGATGCTATAAGAGCAATACGAAAAATCAAATACTTTGTCGCTCGAAGACGTTTTCAGGTAATCTGCGCTTGTAATTCAATAGATAAGGGACGACAAGGAAGTCCCTGGAATTGGCAAAATTTGATATACGGAAGTCCTTTTGGTATTCATTTCCAATTGTCTCTAATCTACAATTAATAAATAGTTGCAGCTAACACATAATAATTGTAATATTTTAGCAAGCCAGGAAACCTTATGATGTTCGTGACGTGCTCGAACAGTATTCTCAAGGGCATCTGAACATGATGGTCCGTATAAAGGAATTGCAACGAAGGTTTGCCCTTTTTAACATGATTCGCACCCTTTTTAAGCTTGACTAGCATACTATCTGTGTCAGATTGGACCAAACACTCGGTAAACCCGGTCAAGATCGGGCATCTCGAACTTCGATGGGTGGATCGACCACGATAGGCGCACGGTTATCACGAATTGAAATGCAGGTACGAGATTGGCTCATACATTTCTGCCATCTCAGGAAAAAGTGGGAGACTTGTTACAGTGGGTCCCAAGCTTTTATAGCACTGCAATAGTAGACCCAACCACTTGAAAGCAGCTTCCTGGCAAATTCAATTTTTTGGCTTGCCTGGGCTCATACTTCCCTTTGATGCCAAAAATGCAGCTTGCAGAGTACGAATATGTCGATAACGAGCTAATAAAAAGTCTCTGATTACAAATTTAGATGGCTGACGCCGAGCTAAAAAAAGCGGAGTCGTGGGGGGACCTCACGTCTTGACTGTGCACTCTAGCTTATCGATATAACTCTATAGGTGAGGTCGTCCGATCCTGTAACTCTCCAAACTTCAACAGCATTTTTCAGTTCGTGTCCCACGAAATGCGCGCAACTGGGATGATGGGTATGTTAGGGCGGTTACTTTTGCGAGACAGTAAAACTCGAAAACCTCCAATCTCAGACACTGCCCTTAACAAATTGCAGTGACAGAACTACAAAATTTGCCTCTGAACGCAATTTTCGCATGCCTATGAGCACATTTTCCCTGCTTGTCAACAAATAAT